AATAAATACAGAACCCACTGATGAGTTTTGTTCAGCCCATGTAATATTTTAAGTGGGGCAAGTACACTCAAATTCAGCTGCTGACAACAGCACTTCACTCATTTTCAGTTTCTACTTGGCCGTTGAAGTTATTTGAGTTTGTGGTCATGTTTTAGGTCATGTCTTATACATTCTGGGTGCCTACAGGCAGTCTTGTTACCCACATCCCCAGAGGCAGAGGTTGCACCTACAGACACATGCAGACATGGGGATGTGCAACGAGAGGGTACACGTGTGTGTCCATATCAGTGGCAGCTAGAGGACCCTGGGATGGGTGCTTTCCCTGCCCACCCCCAAACACACCCACTCACAGATGAGGGAGCTGAGTGAGGAGAGTGGGTAACCTGAGCGCCTGTTCTGCAGGAGAATCCGAGGGGCTGGCACATTCCGTTGCAAAAATAACCAATGGGCAGCGGGCGTGAGTGACGGGACAGCTGGGCCAAGGAGGGGCCCATGAGATTCTGTGTTCCTGCTCTGGGCCTGCACTGCTCAGCCACACAGGGCTGGCCTAGAGCATGCTGTCAGGGTGGGCCTCCCCTAGCTGGTCCCAGAATGCCCCATTTTTCCTCCAAGGCTAGGCAGCTGGGCTCCCCTGCCATTTCCCCAAACTCAGACTTTCAATTTCTACACCACCAGCATCTCCCCTTGACTAGAGGAAACCCAGGTCATCATGCCATGCCTCATCTCACACGGAGACCTTCCTCTGAGCCAGATACCCACACCCCTCTTTTTCCTGCCTTGCTTCAGTTTTCTCTCTTCCTTCCTCTGCTTACTCTGCTCTGTATTTCTGACATACTATATAATTTTCACATATTTATTGTTTAATGCATATAATCTGTTTCCCTTCACTAGAATGTCATCTCTAGCAGGACAGGAATTTCAGTCCCCCACCCCAACTTATAAATCCCAAGCCCCTAGCACAGTGACAGCACACAGTGGGCGTTCGGTACATATGGGAGGAGGTGACAGAGCTGCCGGTAGAGAGGATGAAGGGTGGTGGGGATGGGGACTGTAAATCTTCCTGGAGCAGCTCATTTTCCAGCCTCCCTCCCTTCTCTGTCTTGACCCAGGCCCTTATCCAGAAACAGCTGGAGAAGTGACCATCTCGCCTTCCACTCAGGATGTTCCTGGGAGGGCCTGCCTTGGCTTCTGGAGATTCTCCTGCATGGACCTTGGCTGACTTCGTGGCCTCTGTTCTCCCCTCCCAGGGCTCCTCGCTGTTCCAGCTCTGGCCCCTCCTCCTCTCCCTGATTAGCACTTGGCATGAATGGATGGGGCCACTTTCCATATCCATTCCCAACTCCATACTCTTTTCCTCCTGGTTTTTCATGCAGACATTCCCCATGCCAGGTGAAAAAGACGGTAAGTATAAAATGCACACAGTTCCTGGTGTATTGCCCATATTTCCATCGCTAAATTGGCCTTCTCTCCTCTCTAATCTCTCCTCTCCATGCCTTCAAGCCCCTTGCATGGTTCACTACCATCTGCTGACCTTTGGCTCTTCAAGTTGGCACCAGGGTCTTCCAGACCCTGGCTATGAAACTTCCAACTGCCAAACACAGTAAGCATCGTCAGTCTGAACCTTCTCTTGACTGTGCCCCCGCCTCCCTACACCCTGCCTTTCAGTACAGGCCTCCCCCTGCAGCCACACCATGCCCCAAACTATGAGGGTGGCCCTTGCTCTGGTCACTTGATTGGCACATGGCTCCTTAGCCCATGCAAGTGGGAGCCTGATGTTTTGAGAGAGAAGAATGCCTGCCTATCTTGGAGACTGGGCCTGAAGATGACTTTGGGGATACTGATAGAAGGATGATTATGATGACAGATCCTTGCCTCAGTGTCCCCACACTTCTCTTTCTGAGGACAAGCACTGTGAACTTAGACCCAGAGACCAGGCTTTGAAATCTGCTTCTGCCACCTCACTAGTCATGTGACCTTAGGTAAATTCCCTCTTTGAATCCCAGTTTTTTTATACATATGATGGTCAGTAACCTGGGGCTTAAAAGATTAAATACAAAAATGAGACAGGTTGCTTTCCATTTTAAAAGTATCCTGCATCTCTGCCGTCTTCACTATTCCTGTTCTTTCCTCATTTCTACACCCCAAATCCTACCCTCCTATTTCCCATCCTCCAAACTCTCCAGCCTGCGGCCCACTTGCCTTTTCAAGGCCCCAGCCCCCTCTAGCCATGCCAGTATCCCTCTATCCTGAGTTAACATCCCAGGCTTCAGGAGTGCCAGGAACCTTAGCATTACCCGTCTTGCTGAGCCAGAGAGCAGTCCCAGCCAGGAAACTGCCTCCTTTCCTCTGCAGCCAGATCCTGCATAGGCTTCCTCGAGAACCCTGAAGTCCTCTTGCTGTTGATCCCAATCAAGAAATTTTTCCATGAATTAGTCTGATACTGAGCTGCTTGCCTAGCTGCCCCGGACCAGGATCTGTCACTGGGCAGGGACTGGTGGGGGGTGGGCAAAAGGAGGAGGAGGAAGCCACACTCACCCAGTCCTCCCACATCACCAAAGCAGAGCCCCTCCCTTGCCAATCATGTAGGAGGGGTGTAGTAGTTAAGCATGTGGTTCTTTGCAGTGGGACAGACTCAGGCTTCCATTGTGCCTTGTCACTTCCTATCAGTACAATTAAGATGCTTCATTTAATCCCTCTGGGTCTCAGTTTCCCAAGGGTTGCTGCAGGCCTTAAATGATATATCAAAGGATATGTAGCATATTGCCTGCCACATAGCAGCATAGTTCACACTATTATAAATTACAACTAAGAATGATTACCAATTAATTATAAAGCTGCTCTTGGGGCAAAGAGCTTACCAGTATGAAAAGCTCTCAAATGTGACTTGCAGCAGCCCAACCTTCTTCCTGTTTTAACATGACTGGCCCCCAATCCAGTCCCCCAGCACCCAGGGTCCTTCCCTTACCCCAGCCTTTCAAACATGCTGTTCCACCAGAGCAGCCTGGAGACTGTCCTCTTGGCCTCTGTCTAGGTATGTCCAGCCAGGGCTCAGCTCTGCTGACCACACCATCCATATTACAGAGGGGCTAGGGGGCTCTGGCATCCTGTCACTCCACACTTTGGGGGACCAGGGCAGGCTAGGAGTTTCTCATCTTCAGAAAGGCCAGGGCTGGGCTACTCTCCATACAATGGACAGCTCCCCCTCCCTTTTTGCTCTCCTCTGTCTAGAACTTAAGTGGTAAAATGCCCCCAGAGTCCAAACCAAGGGAATGGGTGCTTAGTTTTAGGATGGCCATAACTAGTTGTTTGTCTTTTGGTGGATCTCCCTCTGCTCTGGACCACGGTGTCCTGACCTGTCAAAGACAGTGTGTGGACCTGCACTTCTCCGTGGTCCTTTCCAGCTCTAAACAGACATGATGACACCATACTCCTTCTCATGGCTTCCTCCCCCTGCCCTAAAATCTCTTTCCTCCAAGTTGTATTCTCATCAATTTATCTATTGTGTTCTTTGATTTATGTTCTGTTTCCAGTCCCCTTTGCTTCTGAGGGCACCAGAGCGAAGATTCCCCAAGAAGTACAGTCCTTCCCCAGCTCAGAGCTCAGCCCCATGCCCTGACCCAAGGCCGGGAAATTCTGTACCTGGTTAGGTATGAGGCCAACTAAGAGAAGCCAGCCTTGGCCCTCTCTATCACTGAAGAGGAAGGTGAGCGGGGCAGGGCTAGGGAGAAAGTGGAGATGCTGACATAGGGAGGCTGAGCTCCTGCTCCATCTTCTGATATGGCTGCACCTGGGGCTTTCTTAGCCCTCCAGCAGCTGAGTTCCTTCATGCCTGCGTCTCCTCCTCAGCCTTCAGGGGTGTACCCCCTACATGAGTCTACCTGGCTGTAGTGAGAATCCCCTCTTGAAAATGCCCAGGAAAGACTCAGTGACCTCCTGCTCTTTGCCATCTACCCCAGCTGCAGCCTGCTTCCTTGGAATTCTATTTTTTAAGACTCAGTCTGCTGAGGTTCTGTCTTGAGCCTAGAGAAGAACTGGCTTAGGGGCTGAGGGAGTCAAAAAGGAAGCCCAAACACTGACCCAGGGAGACTCAGCCCTGGCCTGCACCCATAGCAGCCTCAGCAGGACCTTGAGCCCCACGCCCAGTCTCATGCCCAACCCCTTCTGCCTCAGACCATCATTTACCCTTTCACATGCAAACTTGGTACTCTACTCTGTAGGCAGGGGCCCATGCACCGGCCTGAGCATCCCCCTTCCATGCCTTCTGAACCTTCAGGTAGGCATGGCCCAGGCACTTTCCATGCAAACTCCACAAACCCCGTCCCTCATCTGCTGTTACCACCAGACCCCTGCCCAGCCTGTACGTGCACACACACATGCACACATGCACACGCATGCTTGTGTGTGGATTCTCAACCTCTCACCTCCATACACGCCTGGGAGCCCACAGTCCTAGCTCTATTCCTGATGCTCTGCACCCTGTTCATATTTATCCACTGACTGGCCTCTTCCAACCAGCCTGCTGCTGACCACACCAACCTACCCCAGCAATGGATTGCAAGGACTTCTGACTCATCCCCTCAGCATTGCCACCAGACCAGAGGAGCCAGCCCCCTCCTTCAGACATGCACTCACCTGTAAGGGACTAATCAGGAATCTTAAGTCTGAATTATTGGAGCAGATGAATACAATTTCCCCAAGAGGCCTCTCTTGATAGGGAAACTAGGAGGGCTCACACTACCCAATAACCAGAGAGGCCTGAATGGCCTGCTTATCAAATGCTGACCCTTGACTTCTGACATTCCTATAGGGAGCCTCTCTACCTTGACACCCCTTTCCCTGCACTTTCCTCTTGAAGGGCACTTCTGAGTCAGCACAGCTGAGAAGCCAGAGCATCTGGGAAGAAGGCTGGATGAACAGGTACCTCCCCAGTGTGGCCCAGGCCACTCTTCTCTACCTCTGAGCCCCCTCCCCGCCAGGCTTGGCCTCCACCTCCCCATTACCTCCGACTTCCAGCACTGTGAGAACAGCCTCGCAGGAGGCCTGGCCCCGATCATTCTGGGCCCTGCAGCTGTACATGCCGGCATCCTGCGCCCCGCAGCTCCGCAGCCACAGGCAGCTGGGCTCAGGGGCCGGCGGGGGCAGGAGCTGCCCATCCCGGAACCAGCTGAGACGGGGCTGGGGCGTCCCGCTCACCACCACCCGCAGTCGCACGTCGCTGCCCGCAGACACCGCCGCGTCCTTCAGGGGCCGCAGGAAGACCGGCGCCCCGGCCACCGCCCCTCCGCCGGCCCCCACTTTGGCCCTCTTCGGGGGCACCCCGGGGCTTGGGGGTGCCCTCGTGCCCGTGTCCTCTCCTCGCGTGCCCCGGGCTTTCTGCATGGCCTCTCGAGTTGGGCTGGGGGGACGCTGGAACTGGACGGCCACGGGGGCACCCGGGGGATGTTGCCCTGGGAGATGAGTCCTGGGGGGCCGGCGCCCTGCCTTCCTGCTGCCCGCCCGCCTTCGGCCTGTGCTACCCAGAAGGTCACCAGGGCGGCCGGTGGTTGCGCCTCGGGGGCTATTTTTAGGCCCCCCGGCTCGGGTTGCGAGGGAGCTGCGGAGGGAGGGGGCAGCAGAGGAGGGGACTTGGACACCACTCGGCTCCTTGTCCCCCCTCTAAGAGCCCCCATCGCCCTCCTTGGCCTGAATGGGTCCCTAAGGACTTGTTCCAAGCCCCCTACCCTGCGGTGTGCCCCGCCTCTAAGCCACCCACTTGGGGAGTCAGGTTACCCTTGGGCTCAATCCCACTTCCCTTCCTCCCTCCTCTCAGGCCCTGATTCCCAGCCCCACGTGGCTCTGGGAGAGGGAAAGGAGGTCCTGGGTGAGATATCAGAGAGGCAGATGAGCAGGCAGGCTCAAGTGAAGATGAGCAGACCCTGGGGAAGAGGGACCAGTGGCCTCCCACAGCCTCCATGGCAGCCGTGGTCAACAGTAAGACCAGGAGCAGGGAGTCAGATGGATTTGGCTCCCAGCAAGTCCTGCCCTTCCTTGAGTGACATCAAATCTCTCTCAACCTTCAAATCCTCGTTTGTCTAAATGAGTTGTTGTATAGAATTGCAACAGGGAGAGGAAAGTAGGAAGGACGTTCCAGGCAGAGGGAACAGCAAAATCAGTAGGTGATGTTTTCTGAGAATCAGAGGAATTTGGAGGGACTGAACCACAGTGGGGTGAGGTGGGTGGAGGTGAGAAGTGGGGCCTGAAAAGAGGGCTTTGCTTGCTAAGGTCCCTATCCTGATGGCCATCCGGGGCCACTGCAGGGCGTTCAGCAGTAGAATAACATGGTTAGACCTGTGTTTTAGAAGGATCGTTCTAGCAGCCACAGTGTGGAGGGTGGGTTGGAGATAGGAGAGTTGCAGGCCAGTTAGACCTGCAGTTCTCAAAGTATAGCCTCTGTTAAAAGTACAGATTCCCAAGCTCTACTCTGAGGTGCAGATTCAGTATAGGGGCTAGGAGGGTTTAGGAATCTGCACATAAATAGCCCAGTGACTCCAATGCATTTAAGAGCTGTACTTTGAGAAACATCAGGATAGGACATTACTGCTTTTAAAAGTCCAAGTAAGACTTTTGTGATGGGACAGTTCTGTATCTTGAGTCTGGTGGTCACATGAATCTACACATGTAATAAAATTGTATTGAACTAAATACACACACGCAAACAAGCATTAATGAATGCATGCAAACTGGTAAAATCTAAAGAAGGTGGTGGACTATGTCAATGGCAATTTCCTAGTTGTGATATGGTATTATGGTTATGTAAGATGTTACTACTGGGGGAAACCAGGTAAAAGATACACAGTATCTCTCTGTGTTGTTTCTTATAACTGCATGTGAACCTAAAGTTATCTCAAAATAAAAGGTTTTTTTTTAAAAAAGTCCAGGTGAGAGACCTAGACCTGATGTTGAACCCTAGGGGATGAAGCCTGGGAAGAGCAGAGAGGAGCCAAAGGAGGAGCCAGCAGTCATTAGGAGATGGAGAAAGTTACCCTTATCCCCCATCATCATTCTGAAAGGCCCAAGTCAAAGTGTTTGTGTGTGCATGGAGAGGGCAGAGTTATACACTGAATTATATCTATAGTGTCCAAGAGCCTTAACGAATGACATCTTTGGTTTTAGTTTGCATACATTAAAGCTTACTCTTTGTGATGTGCTGTTCTCCTGGTTTTGACAAATGCAGAGAACTGCATCTGCTACTCCAGGATCATACAGGACAATCTCATCACCCTGAAGATTGCCTGAGCATCCCCTTTGTTGTCAGACATACCCCACCCGCCAACCCCTGACAACCACTGATGCTGAACTGAACTCTTAAATGTAAACTGAATTCTAGGGGGGAGGGTGTAGCTCAAGTGGTAGAGTGTATGCTTAGCATGCACAGGGTCTTGGGTTCAATCCCCGTACCTCCTCTAAAAATAAATAAATAGACCTACTAATTACCTACCCCCCACCAAAAAATAAAATAAAATAAAAATGTAAATTGAATTCTAAAAGGTAAAAATGTGGGGGAAGACATTGTAAGCAGATGGAACATCAAGACCAAAGGAGGAGGATTCCTGTCCCCATGTTGCTTATATTCCAGGAAGGAGACAAATGTAAAGAGATAAAGAAATGATAAAGATCATCAGGCGATGCATATTGTGGGGAGAATGGAGCAGGGTAAGGGAGATGGAAGTGTGGTGGGTAACTTACACTTTCAAACAGGAGGATAGGAGTTGGCCTCACTGGGAACAGTTGAGTCAATCTTGAAGGAGGCAAATGGTGCAGAAGTCTGGGCAGGACTGCTTCAGGCAGAGGTGGAAATGTGCCCTGTGGGCTCCAAAAGAACCAGGAGGCCGTCGGGCAGGAGAGTGGAGGGACAGGAGGTCAGACAGGCAATGGGGAACAGATGGCCTAGCATCTTGTAGGCCATGGTTTTTTTACTCCTAGTGAAGTGGGAAGTCATCTCACAAGATTTTGAGCCAAGGAATTACATGATCTGACTTAGGTTGTTGTGATGGCTTTAACTTATTATATTAAATTTTAAAATGAATATTAACTATTTAAAAGGGCCTGGCACAGAGCCTGGAACATGGCTTGTGGGTCTCCTGTTTGAATGTCCATAATGGCTTTCACTGTTGGGCGCACAGGAGTGTGTGGGCCTGGGTAAGGAGGGCATAGCCCCTTGCAAGTCGCGGGCGCCCTCTCCTGGAGGAGCCCACACTAGCCGTGACGCCGGAAGCCATTAGGCCCTGGCCAGGGCCCTTACCCAGAGCAGCTGGCTGGCTGCAAGGAGCTCATCTGTCCCTCAGAATGGCCCCACAGTGCCCCACGGCTTGGCGCCAGGATGGGTGTGTGCTGCCAGTCTGCCCTGCCTTGCAATCACAAGCCTGTGGTGTCATGGAAAGATATCTGGGCTCCGGAGGCCAAGGAGCAGGGGGCCTGGTCCTCCTCTGCCACAGATATGCTGTGTGACCTTGGCAGTTCACCCCACCTCTCTGGGCCGTGGGGTGTTTCCTCCAAGTCATAATGATGCACCGTGTGGTAAAAGCTCAGTAAGTGTTCATTGAATCAGTGAATGAAGTTGGGGAGGGGCATCAACCTCTCTGGTAAATATTTAATTTAGAGAAAAGTACATTTAAAGTGCCCAGTTCATATTCATTCAACAAGTATTTAAATATTTGATTGGCACCTTCTATGGACCAAGCACTCTTCCAGGTACTGGGAATACAGTAGTGAATAAAATGAATAAAAACCTTGGCCTTGGGTAGCTGACATTTTAGGTGTTGAATCAAAAGTCAGTGATGTACTTGCATATGTGTCCTGGGCAGGGTTGTGGTCAGAGGAGGAATAAGGGAGGTGGTGAATGGGTGGGATGCTTGTCTTCAGGGGCAGGGAGGGTAGCCAGAGTGGACAGTGCCTGCTGAGACCTCAGTTCTTGGCTTAAGGACTTTGCCCCACAATCCTTCCTACTCCATTGCCTTAGGTAGGGTCTGAGTCGGTCAGGAACTGGTCCCAAAGGAATCAGTGAAAAGCTGGTTAGCCCTCTATGAGCCCTCTTATTTCTTGGTGTTGGGTCTTAAAGGAGAAGACATCAGAGTTTCCCAATGAGCAGGGAGAGTTTTTGCCATGGAGATGATGGGGTGTGTGTCTGTGTGGATGATAGTATGTTGAAGGTCTGCTTGTGTTTGTGTGATCCCATGAGACTCAGATCTCTTTGGGTTTATTTTTGTCCATTCTCTGGAGCACTACATTCACCAGGGGCCACAGGGGGTGGGGCAGAGGGATGGGGTGTAGTCCCAGGTACTCCCAGGGCAAGGTGAAGAACAGTATTCCGTGGAGAAGTGGTCCTTCCTGGAGGGAGGGACCCCACAAACAAGAGGGGAAGAGGCAAACTTGTGAGCAAAGGCAGCATCCAAGGAGAGGGGGAAGACAGAGACACCAGAAAGTCTTTCAGTAGCTTCTGGAAAAAGCCAGTTAGGAACGGCACACTAGAGACTTTAAGACTAAAACCCCATTAGATTTATTTCACCTACAGGCTGTCCGAATTTATCATGTTTGTGATCTCTGCCCTCTTCCAGTCTCTAAAGGGTAATCCCTGAAATCTAAGGAGCGGCTGGAAGGCTGGGACCTACATGGATTTACCAAGCTTCCTAAATCTCCTATCCACCTGGAATTTAGTTTTTAGAAGAAGTGGAAAAAGAGACAGCTTTCCCTTGTGCCCTACCCCACCCTCCACGGCCACCTAAATGCCCCCACGTCCTATATTGAATAATTAAGGTTTCTTGACAGAAACTTTGAACATATCTGTGTCAATGTTTTATTCCATGATTGCCTACTTATTTTCGTGTGTTCTATGTTCCTCTCATCTTCCTAAATTCTTCCTAAATTTCCTTTTGGTATTTTAATTGAGATTGTATTGCACCAAAATTAAAAATTAACATAGGATGAATTGACATCTTTAAAGTATTGAGTCCTTTTCTCCAAGAACAAGGTAGAGTTTCTGTTTTTCTTCACATGGTTATTTTTCCTGAATCGGCCTTTGTAGGTAAAAGGTGCAGGTTTAGTGGGAAGAGGGTGTAAGCTTCTCTAGGCAAGGGACTGGGGGAGCCCGACTTCACAGTCAGGCTGTGGGGGCAGCCTGGCACTGGGGCCTAACAAGAGGTATTTGATTCCTCAACAAAAGCCTACGCCCAGCCCCCCTCCCCCAGATGTTACTACCCATGTACAGCAAGACTGAGAGGCTCTGGGAGGAAAAGGGGTGACAGGCCCTGGGGGACAGCCTGGCTGGGCAGGAGGACAGCACACAGTCCATCTCGAGGTGGTGGGCCAGGGCCTGGGAGGGTCCCCAGCGGAGGCCTGGCAGTCAAGGCAGCACAGGACGACGTGTGAGGCTTGTGCTTATCTTTTTATTATTTCTGTCCAGAGCCCCTGCAGTGGGGGAGGGGTGGGCACGGGGAGGTGGCACCCCTGCCAACCGCCTGAGACCGCTCTCTGCCTCTCTCCTCTCCTCTCTGCTCCCCTCTGGCATCACACCCACCCTCTTTCCTTC